TCGACGATAATGGTTATAATAATAATATAAAAAAATAATTCTTACATAACTGCAATAGTATTTTCCAACGTCAAAGAGTTCATTGATTTCGGCGCTTCTCTTTTTTGTATATTTTAATCTCGGTCATCCAATCCCCAACAGCCTTTGTAAAGATGTCCTGAGGTATTGCATTGTGTACATATTTTGTTTTGACCATTGTAAAAAAACTGGTGTTTTTTACAGATAAATAAGTATTAAAATTAAAAACCTGATCAAAATATAATATCGTAGACATTTCAATTAATATTCTTAAAACGTTGTCTTTGTCACACTTGTGTTTTAAACTTGAGCGAATAACAGTAAAAGTAATTAATAACAAAATACAAAGTTTTAGAGAACAATCTAAGGATTTTTTTTTTAATTCAGAGCTAGCCATTATTGAACAAGGAAGGAACTCGAAGGTAAATAGAGGGAACCCGTGCGCTATTAAATTAAAATTAACAAACATTTGAAATACGAAATTTAAAAATCATTTTCTTAAAAAATTATCTTAAAAAAAAAATCTAAGAAAATATTTATAAGATTACAAACTTTACTGATATATAAAATATACCTTGCCGGGTCAAGCAACAGGTGCGCTCTTGATGATTTATAATATAAAATATATCTGCACCCTTCTTACAAGAAAACCCAGCAGGCAGCACAGTATAAACTGAGCACAAAAAAAACTAGCAAAGTGATTTAATCACTGCCAAACATTTTGACGGAAATCTGTAGCTCGTAAGAACTAAAATTATTTATTTTGAAGTTAAGGGGTTTATTCACCTACATAAGATAATATATGTATTTCCTAAAACTTATCCAAATGAGATTTATATATTTTTTTAAATATCTAGATAAATGGAACAGACTAAATTTTCAGTCTTCCAAAAGATCTAGGTTGACCCCTGGGCCCTGCATGGAGTATTCTCCCATATTGAATACCGGAACACCCTGTTACATACAAATATTAATATAAGGATACAGATGTATCTTTTATTATGTGTATTACGTGTATGAATAATATGTGGCACGTAAGCCATATAAGTTAAAGAAGTTTACTTGCTAACGGTTAAAAATAATAAATAATTAAAGTAAAACAACAGTATGTTTGCCTTATCCACTTATGTAAATAATAATTACTGCACCCGTCGGCGTTGAAGGTAACGGAGCTGGAAAAAGTTTAAGTAGCTCTAAATTAATTAAGGTCACCTGAGCAATATTGATTTGTCTTGGTAAATTCAAATCTCACTTGCAGTGTATAAGACATTATAATATAATATAAGATTTATCGTAAAGATAGCCCCGCATAAACCTGTTATTGACAGTTAACAATTGATTGTGAACTGTCATAAAATCATATTTTATGTAAATACATCCTTATTGTTATACACACAATATATAAAATAGAATGTTTTAAATTAACGACAGAACCTCCTTTTTTTGTTAACTTGAAGTATTGACATTATTATGTTATAATTTAAAAACTGCCCATTCATTACGAGAAATGGTCAAAATACATTAATTTGCACTGGGCAAGGCCTTCGAAAACTAATTGGTATTATAATATTAACTCCACTATGGCAATATAGTTGCTCGACATTATAAAGCAGTCTACACAATTATTGAACATATTAACAACTACAATTAAAATAATACAATAATATGCTCATGGTTTATTGATATAATATTATTCAAGGTTATGTCGAATAATTTTCCATTCTAAGATAATTAGTTTTAAGTCATTATTATGACTAAATATGTCTAGATGCGTTTAATTTTTACTTCCTCATACCTTTTTCAGAATGCAACCCTTTTAGTAAAATACCGAGCATTTATCATATAGGTACTTACGTTTACTCGATGACAATAATAACCAGTAATCATCATTATTAATTGTTCAAGAATACCGTGCACATGTGCAATGTATTAATATATTTAAAAAAAAAATATCAAGAATAAATTTACCTAAGTATATTCAGTTTAGAAATTTAATATGACCTGCGATCAAATTTAAGATTATTGTCTTTTATTAAAAAGTATTCCCAGCAGAACTTTTATTTTTTAACAACTGCTTTAAGTACTTTTATAATGAAAGTTTCTGTATACCTATTATCTATTACCTATTACCTTTATAATACGTCAAGTTTTAATGGAACTTTTAAATTTCTGTTCTAAAATGAACATTGGTAATACAACTTTTTTTTTTTAATTCTTAAAATTTAACTCTCTGAAAAAGTTAGGAATTTTTCGGACTGAATATTATTTCTAAAATGTTTTTCGATTTAATTATTATTTAGATTAAACCATAGCAAGTTATTATAGCTATAGTGGGAAAAAATATTTTAATGTTAATATTTAATACATTCAATAAATTATCTATACTCATGGATGATTTTTTATACCTAATTAGGTAATTATTTACTTGCTAATAAAAAAGATTAATGTTACTTTAGATTTCGAAGTAATAATCATTTGCGAATAACTACTAATTAGTTCTCGAGTTTAAATCAAGTAGCAAATTTCCATAATTTGAACGCTAAAACAAACGTGTTACACGGTTTCGTTACTTCAGGTTAATCATAAAAATGGTAACTTTGAACTGTAATCGGTGTGTCAGAGCACCCACTTGCAACCTAACCTATTTGTATTTATTTATGCTATGAGAACACTGAACAGTAATCGTTTTTTCCCAAAACGTTAACATGAAATTTACAGCACTTAAGAAAATAATGTGTTTTATGTGTCGCATAAAATTGAATTAGTTTGGATTTGCGCCAGACACTTCAATGGTCTATCAAATATGTCGTGTGAATGGTGTTTGAAGTACAAAGACATTTCATTTCACGTACAACGTCGATTGCTCTAAAAAGAAAAAGAGACATCGTGTAATATAACTGAGAGATTTAAATTGCTTGTTAAAAAATATCATCAAAGGTAATTTTTTTATTTTATAACTTACATTTTACTAATAAAATTATCATAAAAAATCTCGTAGAATATTTTGAGTAGGAAGAACATAGAAGTGAATATTATGAGTAGAAACGTTTATATCTAGTTGACTTTATTGCATACAAAATATATGTATAATTTATAGTTTTTATTTTAAAAACAGTAAAATTGCTCGTTTATATTTTAAAAAAAACATGTGATTTTTTGTTGACAAAAAAAGTAATCGTTCCATGATGCTTTTTGAAAAACTTATATTTTTGCCTTTTGTCACCAATAAGGTGATAATGCGTTCCTTATAAGTTATAAAGTCTACTGCCACTTTAAATTCTTCAATAAATGGATAAGTCACAAGCCTAGGCATCATTTAAATATTGAATAAATAAAAATTCAAGATTAAATAAACTTAGCCAGCAGAAAAAATAAAATGCATTCACATATTTTAAAATAACTTTTTGACCAGTAATTAAATGTTCTATACAAATTACTAATTTCTTATAAGTTGTAACGAATAAAATAAAATTTAAATTGTACTGTTCGTGTAATGCAGCTTATCTGCTTTTTTATCCATAAATTATATTATTGTAATTTAAATTCAGTTTTATTCGTTATTAGAAAATATATTTTTTAATTTATTATCATTGCGGGTATAATTTATTTCATTAATAGACTTTAGTTTCATTAGACAAACCTTGTGCGAGACGGCGAGTAAGGCAATTAGTACAAAGGGGCCGCCAATTATCATGCTTTAATTGAACTTAACGCCAATGTGTCTAGTGTCACCGAGACCGGAGTAAGTTATAATGTTTAGGTAGGATGGATTAAACTAATTAAGAATAATAAGCCGCCACCTTTAATCTCCAAGTAGTTTGTCAACCCATTAATTTAGGGATGAAACTTTAAATGTAATAGCAATGATTATAATTTATAAATACAAATTCAAGGAACAAACTATTAGAGAAAATAGAGATCAAATTTGTATTTAACGAAAAACATGTTTAAAATTTAGATGCATGTTAGTTTTTTTTAACTTAAATAAAACAATTCAATTAAATTAACATTGTGCAATATAATAGAAAAAAGAACCGAAATTTGCCTATTTTGTGAATTTATTTATTTCCTTATTGCTGGCTCCGAATCTGACTTTAGAATTTCTTTAGTCCGCCAATTAAACAAAGAGAACCTTACTAGGATTTCCTATTTTCGATTGAGTTAAAAAAACTAAAAACAGTAAATACTACATTAATTTTCTGACTAATTCTAAATTTAGCAAATAAAAAACTTTTTTTTATATAAAAAAAAAAAATGTAAACATATAGAATACGTTGAATGTACCACAAAACGATGTTCTTTAGTTTTTTTGCAACTTAGGAGCTACTAGAAAAATGTAGAAGTCAGATTCGGATTCAGCGCAGAAAAAAATATATCGGTGATTAGTTCTTGTTCTTAAATTATATTACTCAACGGTATACGACCAGTTGTCTACACAATTATACACAATTAACCATTAGATAATACATTTCTAAATTTCAGCTAACCTGACATTTTAAGGCTTGTGAAATTCGCAAAAAAAGTAATAGTTCATAGTAAACATTTTAAATTTTACTTGAATTATTTCTTTTTAAATCTATATCATTCCTAAATAATACTTCACAATGGATAATTACTAAAATTTAATTTTATAAATCCTCTTTTAGGTATTTATGAGAATGATTTTCATCTGTATAAGTACCTACTAATTGATGTCTAACTAGCTGTTATATGTATAATAATTTTCTATTCATCGTATGTAAAAAAAACGTTTACAAATTTTTAATTTTTTAAAAACGTAGGAAGAAAATACAGTTTAATAGTACAGGCATGATTTTTTATAATATTATTTTGTTCACGCTTTTTTTTCTCAGTGATTATCTTGGATGGGATATTACTTTCCGGACGTTTGGCCACACTGTCAGTGAATTTGCCGGTTATATTTTATCATACGAGTTTTCATTTGTGATATTGAATTTACTTATCATCTAAAAGAACTTCTTTAAGAGAAGTTCTGTTGGAAGTTTTACAGCAGTCGTTTGTTTACTTACAGAATACAGTCTGTTATTTAATATTTACATTGAAAAAAAAATGATAACTGTTAAAAACCATTTAAGGTCCAATGAACTTGGTTCATTCACTTAATTGCTTACAATCGAACAAATTGAAACCGAACACGCAAAGAAAGTCACACACACACACACATATTTTATGTTGTATTGTTTTTTCAAAAATATGTATTGACTCAGAAGGTACAATCGTTTCATTTGGCTCTATCAAGTGTTCGTGTAAAATACTGTATAATTTGTTTTTTAAAGGCAAAGCGTAGTGAGACGATTATTAAGTTTTGACTAAAAGTACTAAAATATATTTCTTACATACTTGCTGTATAAAAAAAAGGAAATAGGTATATTTATAATATAGTATAATAGATATTTATTATTAATATTACATTAAGAAAATAACGCAGTCTATTTCGAGAATATTGTATAGTTCACATCTCTGATCATCGCTAATTATGATAAATTATTAACAAAAACTGCATTTTGTTTTAGGCACTAAGTAGAAATGTATTTGTATAATATGACGTTACAACGAGGTAGCGCCATCACGAATGCTATCCATGGTAATTTTAGTGGCCGAAAGGCTCAAGAAATATTAATATCTCATGGAAAATCACTAGAGCTGATGAGACCTGATACGAACACTGGGAAAGTCCATACATTACTTACAGTTGAAGTGTTTGGAATTGTTCGAGCTCTGATGAGCTTCAGACAGTCTGGCGGAACCAAAGGTAGTTTTAACGTTATTTAATCAAAGTAATTTGACTATTTAATGTTTAATTTTATAACAATTTAAAATTAACCATGTTTACATTTTGGCTAAAAATGTTTTAGATTATATTGTAGTCGGAACTGATTCCGGAAGAATAGTCATTTTGGAGTATTTGCCGTTGAAAAATATTCTTGACAAAGTACATCAGGAAACATTCGGAAAAAGCGGTTGCAGACGTATCGTACCGGGACAATATTTAGCGATTGACCCAAAGGGACGAGCGATTATGATTGGTAATAATTTCTTGTATTCTTAACAAGTTAAATAATTACGCTTTCATTTTATAATGAATTGTTTGTTTTCATTGAATTTATTAGGTGCAGTAGAAAAACAAAAGCTGGTGTACATTCCCAACAGAGACTCCGAAGCTAGACTGACTATATCGTCGCCTTTAGAAGCCAACAAGAGTAATACATTCGTTTATCATATGGTTGGAATCGATGTCGCGTTTGATAACCCTGTTTTTGCTTGTCTTGAGATTGACTATGAGGTAATTTCCATTGTCACTATAATGCTTTTAGTAATTTTCAAAAAAAATTGAAAGCTATATTAAATGTTTTTAGGAAGCCGATTCCGATTCTTCGGGCAATGCTGTCCAATCTACCTGTCAAACACTGACATTTTACGAAGTTGATTTCGGATTAAACCACGTGGTCAGAAAATATAGTGAAGCTTTAGAAGAACATGCCAATTCACTAATTGCCGTCCCTGGTGACAAGGATGGGCCTGGTGGAGTGTTGATATGCTCGGAAAATTATATAACATATAAAAATCAAGGCGAACAACCTGATATTCGTTGTCCGATTCCTCGTAGACGAGTTAGTACAATTTTCACACCAAAATCTTGTTGAAACTTCAAATAATAAATTATCCAAATTTTGTTACAATATTTTATTAACAACCATTGGAAAAAATATTGTAATATACATATAACAAGAAAAAAATTACGAACTTTACCAATGTTTGTAAAAATTAAGTTAAAAAAACGTAAATAATTAATAACATGTAATTAAGTTTTGTAATTTTTTTTCAAATTTTAGAATGATTTAGATGATCCGGAACGAGGAATGATCTTTGTTTGCAGCGCTACGCACAAAACCAAGTCAATGTTTTTCTTCCTGGTACAAACCGAACAAGGGGACATCTTCAAGGTGACACTGGAAACCAATGAAGAATTTGTCACAGAAATACGACTGAAATATTTCGATACAGTTGCTGTAGCTTCGGCAATGTGTGTTTTGAAAACAGGATTTTTATTTATAGCGTCCGAGTTTGGAAATCAGTGAGTTGTTTGCAAAAATAAAAATACAATATATAAAATTCAATTTGTTTTAATATATATATATATTTTTACATTTACTTAACTTTTTAGTTATTTATATCAAATAGCAAATTTGGGTGATGATGACGACGAACCCGAATTTAGTTCTGCCATGCCCTTGGAGGAAGGAGATACGTTTTTTTTCGCTCCTCGACTATTGAGAAATTTAGTATTAGTCGATGAAATGGATTCTTTGTCGCCCATAATGGCATGTCAAGTTGCAGATTTAGGTAAGTTTATTGCTTATACTAAATAATTTTTGCATAGGGGTATCTATGATGTCACCGAATCCGATAAGACATTGTCAGATTAATATAAAGTAAAAATATAAGTACTAATATTTTGTTGATTTTGTCAATGAGTTTGAGTTATGAAGACCATAAACTTTTAATAGAAAAATAGTGGGATAACTTTGGTATATAATTTGGACCAATCAATACTTACAGTTGTATCTAATACCTAATATAATACAAAACGTTTCATCAACTCATTCAAATACCACTCAATGGCAAAAAACAAAACATATTTTCTCTGTACTGTATTATAAAAACTAAAAGCTATTTTAACAAATTAAAAAAAAAAATGCTTGATGCAAAACTATAGATGATAAAAATTACTGACATCAATACACAAATCATTTTTTAAACATTAAATGTTTTTTATAATCGTGTTATTTGATTTTTTTGGGGTTCCAGGATATAAAGAGTGTGGTTACAGACTCTTGAACTTTTTAGAAATATGGTAACATATTTAAACAAACATTACAAAATTACTATTATTAACATTATTGTTAAATTGATCACCCTGAAGAAAAAAAAATGACTTCGTCTATTTAATGTTAACTTTTAAGTTATTCTCCTAAAGATAATGTTAGGTTAGACTATAAAATCGTTGAAAAAAGTAGTTAAATATAGCTCTTTTTATTTATAGTTTTTCTTAATCCGGCAAAGTTTCATTGAAATTAGTATATTAGTATATTAGTATATTAGTATATATTAGTAATTTTATCTGTCTTTCTTTTTTTATTCTCCTTCTTTGTTTTTTATCATACAAGTTTTAAAGTGAAAATTGTTTTAGCCGCCGAAGACACTCCTCAGTTATACATGGCGTGCGGACGAGGTCCACGATCCACGCTGAGAGTTTTGAGACACGGTCTTGAAGTGTCCGAAATGGCCATTTCAGAATTGCCAGGAAATCCGAATGCAGTTTGGACTGTTAAAAGTAGAGCGGAGGGTAAGCTTTCAGTTAATCTCAGATGTTTATATATATTTTAAAACATTTTTAGTAAAATAATTAAGTAGCTGGGTTATAGCTCCCTAACTAAATGTCCGCTCTTTTATTTAAAACAAATGTAATATTGTAATAATTGTTTGAAATCCAAACGTATATTAATGCACTGGTGAATAGATTATAAAATCTATCAAACACCAGTTCGTTTATTTTTCAGGTATTGACTATCGCCGTAGAGGCTTCAAATCAATTAGGTAAGATGTAGAGTTGGACAGGAGCGATTGAAGAAAAATGAAAATTCATTATTTATACACACACACGTTCCTCATCTGAAAGAGAAATATCTGTTTATATTTTATGTGTAACATTAACGATAAGCAGACGAGACACTTTTTTTTTTGTATTCTAATATTTGAATTGTTTCAGCAACTGATGTATGTAACAGTTCTAATAGGAAAATCGACGTTATATACCATGACTAATATTTTGTCTACTTACTATAACAACGACAACAATAAATTTCTTTTTGACTCGCATTTCAAAATGTATTGATTTACATTACAGCAAATATTATTATTTGACCTTTTCAACTTTTTAAACTTTTTTTAATTGAAATTAATTAATTTAATTCGATTGACTTAAAACTAAAATACAAAACTAATTTTTTTACGCTCCACATTTGTGTTGTCTAACTATCAAAAATTATTTTTCCATCTGTTATATAGGTATATAAATTATTAATTTTTTTTTTAATGCTTTCAGAATTGTATGATGCGTATATCGTTGTGTCATTCTCAAATGCTACTTTAGTTTTGTCGATCGGCGAAACAGTAGAAGAAGTTTCAGATTCTGGATTTCTAGGGACAACACCCACGCTATCTTGCTCTCCGTTAGGTGACGATGCGGTTGTACAGATTTATCCCAATGGTGTACGTCATATACGATCGGATAGACGAATGCACGACTGGAAAGCTCCAGAAAAGAAGAAAATAGTCAAATGTGCGGCCAATCAGCGGCAAGTGGTTATCGCGTTGGGTGGTGGCGAACTAATATACTTTGAAATGGATCCGGTAAGTTCAGAGAAATAAGCTTACAATTTTGGCTTCGATGTGCCTCCGAGAATGTATTGTTTTTTAAGCCAATGGATCAATTTCTTAATGTAACAAGTCTTTAAATTAGAAATTGTACCCCTTTATCAAAATCAAGAAGAACAACCTATAAATGTACATGTTTTTTATTTTAAAGTTAGATATAGTACTACCAATATACATTAAAAACCCAAGGAAATATCATTAACCCTTATTCCTGAAAGGAGTAGAAATTATTCCTTTATTTCGTTATTTTGAGCGTAGTTTTAGGACTTGAGGTCTGAAAGTTAGACTGAAGGTATAACTATAGTGGGAGAGGAGCTATACTATATACAATTTTTTTAAAAGTCTGTAGTCAAACTTTTTTTTTAAAAAGGAAAAAAATTAAAAAAAAGGGAAACATCATACTCGTATCGTATTAAATTTCCAGGTTGCTATGTGTGAATGAATATCATCAGTCAAAAGGTATCTGTAAAATATTTTTATTCTATTTTTGATTACGATAAATGGGTAACATCCTCTCTAATAGGATTTTAAAAAAAAATGGATTTCAAATAATACCTGTAATAACTTTTTTTTTTTAACTACGAAAACCAAAAAAATCAAATAACATTATTAAAAACACATTTACTGTCTAAAAAATTATTTAAATTTAATAGCTTTTATCATTGACGGTTTTGCATTAAAGAGTTTATTTGAAAGTTATTTTATTATACTTTCTCCTTTTCTCCCTATCCCAGTATAATTTAACCCCACTGTATTGGCTTTATACATTTCTTAAGAATAACTTATTATGTTAATATTGTTAAATAAAATGTTTTCGTTGACAGACTGGACATTTAAACGAACACAAAGACCGTAAGGAAATGAACACTGATGTTCTTTGTATGGCGTTGGCAAATGCCCCGTCCGGAGAACAAATGTCTCGGTTTTTGGCCGTTGGATTGATTGACGAAACAGTTCGCATTATTTCTTTGGATACGGGCGTAAGTATTGTTTGTTCAATAACTATGTACTAAGCTTCCAAATGTACAGTTTGTAAATTTTACAGGATTGCTTGACTCAATTGAAAATGCAAGCTATTCCCGCCATGCCCGAATCACTGTGCATCGTAGAAATGGGTGTGAGCGATGTTGGGTCGTCTGATGAGCCCGGAATGAATTCCTTGTCAATGTTGTACCTGAACATTGGCTTGCGAAATGGAGTACTGTTGCGTACGGTCTTGGACAGCGTTACCGGGGAAATGGCTGACACTAGAGCCCGTTACTTGGGAGGAAAACCGGTGAAACTATTTAAGATCCAAACTCGTGGCAATGAGGCTGTAAGCGTTGTTAAATGGTGTCTATCTAAAATGATGACACTTTAATTATTTTGTCCTTACACAGGTGCTTGCGATGTCTAGTCGATCTTGGCTAAGCTATTATTACCAAAACCGTTTTCATCTAACGCCCCTGTCGTACGACAGTCTGGAATACGCTTCTGGTTTCTCATCTGAACAATGCGCTGAAGGCATAGTTGCTATATCTAATAACACCCTGCGTATTTTGGCATTGGAAAAACTTGGCGCCGTATTCAATCAAGTGTCCTTTCCGGTTGAGTACACTCCTAGAAAATTCATTGTACATCCCGACTCGGCTCACTTGATTGTTGTCGAAACCGAACACAATGCATACACAGAACAGACAAAGAGACAGAGACGAGTTCAGATGGCCGAAGAAATGCAAGAAGCCGCCGGAGAGGAGGAACAAGAATTGGCCTTGGAAATGGCCGAAGCGTTCTTGAACGAAGATTTACCGGAAAATGTTTTCGGCGCTCCCAAAGCTGGTTCTGGAATGTGGGCTTCGTTGATTAGGTTGTTTAATCCTGGCCAAGGTGTTACCGAAGCAGTTTATCGTTTTCCACAAAACGAAGCGATTATGAGGTTCGTATTTTTGAGAAATCAATTTTATGTTCAAATATCAACTTTTAACATTACAATAGCTATAAAAAATATTATTTAAAATTGGTTTTCAGTGTTGCCTTAGTGCGGTTTTCAACTTATCCAGATACACAGTATGTACTTTTCGGTGTTGCAAACGAGCTTTATTTAAATCCAAGACACGTGACCTGTGGCTATATTTACACATACAAGTAATGTAAAAAATAAAAATAAATTTTAAGAAACCTATTGAATGTCTCATCATTTGGTTTTAGAGTGAACCCGACTTGTACGTCTTTAGAATTTGTACACAAGACGATTGTTGATAACGTGCCAACGGCGATTTGTGGATTCCAAGGCCGCGTTTTGATAGGCGTCGGCCGCATACTACGTATATACGATATTGGAAAAAAAAAATTGTTGCGAAAATGTGAAAACAAAGTATGTAACTTTCCATTATTTTTTTTTATATTATGATATTTATAACTGTCTTTTGTAGCAAATTTCCATGTCGATTGTCGGAATCCGAGCAATGGGGTTGAGAATTTATGTTAGTGACGTCCAAGAAAGTGTGTATATGGTGCAATACAAAAGATCTGAAAATCAATTGGTTATATTTGCCGACGATACACAGCCACGTTATACTACGGCTATTGAGATACTCGACTACAACACAGTAGCCGCGGCTGACAAGTTTGGAAATATTACGATTGTAAGTGATCAGGACGTCAAGTCTAATGACTAAAGGCCATAACTTGTTCATTTGATTTTTTTTCTCTTGTCTATACATTCCTTATGTCTGCAGAAGTTTGATTTTTATAACACAAAAATTATTTCTACAATTTTAGTAATATAATTTCGCTTTGAGCCAAACATATATATTATACATAATACAATTATTATATATATAATGACACTATTTTGTAACTTTATACTTCAACTTGAAAATTTCAATGAGAAACAATTAATCTTGAACTTTTTTCTAACTCATTATTTTTTAACTTCTACTAAACGTAAATAATTATATCATTTATATTTCAGCTACGGTTAGCTGTATCAATATCTGACGAAATTGAAGACGATCCGACCGGAAATAAAAATCTTTGGGATCGCGGGTTGCTTAACGGTGCTTCTCAGAAAGCAGATTTCATAGCCAATTTCCATGTTGGAGAAATATGTACATCGCTACAAGTGAGTAATTTCTTTTTGATTAGCCTAGACAATCGTTATTTTCAAAAACTAAACATTTCTTTTAAAAAAATATATCTATTTTGTTTTTTAGAAAGCTACTCTTATACCGGGAGGTTCTGAATCATTAGTTTACTCGACGATATCGGGTACGATCGGGGTTTTGGTGCCGTTTACAGCTCACGAAGAACAAGACTTCTTTCAACACCTTGAAATGCACATGAGATCGGAAAATCCACCTTTGTGTGGCCGTGACCATTTATCCTACCGATCCTATTATTTTCCTGTAAAGGTTAGCGTTAATTCAGGTTTTTTTTTAAATTGTTTACTAAAATATTAAATTTTTTAGAACGTATGTGACGGAGATTTATGTGAACAGTACAACTCTATTGACATTGCTAAACAGAAGAGCATTGCTGCCGATCTCGATAAAACGCCAGCGGAAGTGTCTAAGCGTCTCGAAGACATGCGAACAAGATACGCATTTTGAAGTATTCTTAGTTTTTATATCTTACCTATTATTATAACAATTTTACTTTCTTTTTTTTCTTTCCTAGAAAATCTTTCTTTTTCGTAAATGTGATTACATACTTTTATTTTTATTGAGTTGATTCAACCTAAATTAAAAGACTGTTGAAATTTAAGTTCCTTGTGTGATGTACACAATTAACAGCTTGACCTCAATAAAGTTAATTATTTTAAACATATTGTACTATTAAGAAATGAGTAATATTACTATTTTCTTTTTTTTTATACAGCCTTTATTGTTATAAAATATTTGGCTCAACAATTAAACAATATTACTAATTAATTTAGTCGAATTCCTATTATAGATTTATTGAAAGTTTTGGGGTTTTTTATATAAATTAATTGGTAAACTTTTTAACAAGTATATTGTCAAAATACCATAATTGTAACTATTAATAAATGTAATTATTGGAAATTTGGTAAAAAAAAAACGGAATAAAGAAAAAATGTTGAACCATTCTGCTGGGTTGGTTGTTTTTTTCGTTTATTTATTTTTTCTATATTTTGACAATTTTTCGGGCAGCTAATCGAGTGCATTATTTTTAAGTACATATCGAAAATTGTGTTTGTTTTTAGAAGATTTCTACAGTGTTATTCTATTTTCAGTAATTTTTAATATTTTTTATCAACTTGCATGGGTAATATTGGAACATTTTTTTTTTTAATATTGCCCATGCCTGATTATAATAATTTCTGTGGACTTGTGATTTCTCAAACTAATACAATATGGTCTGTCCGCTTTTACGCCCTTAGGCTTGACAATGCTAGCTTTTTTTTGTGACATTTGTGGTTTGAACAATTTCTTTTAACCCGGTAACGGATGACGCTGGTTTTTTAACACCGATCGAATGTGTATGTCCAATATGTTGGACGCGTTAACGCATGTATTAATTGAGAGAATTACATAAGTTAATGTAGAGAAAGAGCCAGTGCAGCAAAGATAACTATATGTTGTCAAAGCGAAAGCTGAGGCGCCCACGCGACTTAAAAATCGACCACCCTAGGAATCATAAAGGCGGCGGCCGCTGGGTCTATGGTTTCCATGGCGACCCAAATATTGAAATCTAAAGTTTTCGCTTTGATGCAGAGAATCGCGACGACCACCGTATCAAATTCTCACCTTGTTTGTTTACCCCAAACTGTCTATATTTTGATGATATTTCAGGTGCACTTACCAAACAACAAGGATAGTGTGTAGCATTGAAATACGGTCTAGCCCTACACGTGTGAGCTGCCCAATAGGTAGGGAGATTCAGTATAGGATCGAGTCTGTTCGTTTCGGCCAGGATATAACTTGAGGCTTTTGCATTTTGGAAAACCCAATAGACGAAATAAAGGCATAATAATTGACGAAAAATGTAATTTTAGTGTACATACATTTTACACTAAATGTTATTGTTATTCTACACGGTCATACTGAAATATTACACTCTATTGCCTTCTGCTGAAATAATATTGTAAGAATAAACTGTATTTATACATTATCATTTAAACAACTTTTTGACCCTTCTCTCGCGTTGTCTGGTACATTATTTCTTCTGTTCTCGAAAGCGAGTTTATTTGTTCGCGTTGCCGAGTTCTATTTCGCGTTCTCGCTGTATAATGATAATTGAATTTTCCGTTTCCATAGTGTTTTAATTTTCACCCTTTTAGAAGTTCCGACGTTAACCGACTGCCTTTCGAATGCTCGGACAGCTTTTCAACAACAACGGGCTGTTGGTGTATAAAATATATAATATTAAACATCAACCGCATTGTCCAAGTCCATACTATAGTTATTTATAATCTTGTGCGAAGAAAGTGCTTGCACTCAACACACAGTCCTTGTCGTACCGACAAACTTGATTTAAGTTTTTTTGTTTTTGTTTTATCGCGTTTGCACGTCAAAAGCCAATTCTCTACGATGGCAGTTTTTTATGTTTACATCTTCGCCCACATTCCAACGCAATTTCCACAAACGTCGCTTTCAAGTGTTATTTCCGGGCTGTACATTTTTGTAGTCCATTTGAGGTCATCCGGAAGCATTAAACAAAAATAATTAACCCTAACCTCGTTTAAGTGGGAATATAGTATCCGAGTAGAGCCTTGTACGTAAGAGAGGATGGAGAATTTTTAAAACAAAAATTTTTTAGTACAATATTGAATTTTACAGTTTATTACATAAGTTAATTCATTAATATTAAAAATTGTATTTAGTTATTTGCAAGAAACTGAAATTTTTAAATGAAAATCGGCTTCCCACATAACATAGTAAAGTAGCCAAAGAACTCGAATCTCTTTATAGGATTGAAATTGAACCATCCTATGTAGTCGACATTTTGTTTTGTTTTTTTAGTCTAAAATAAACCAAAATGATTTTTACTCGTAGAAAAAAATTATTTAAATTAAAAATAATACCTTGAAGCTTAGACAAATTAATTAACATCGTCAAAATTTATTAAAACCTCTTTTTTCTTAAGTATAGTCTATACAAAACTCCTTAAATACAGACCGCAAAAACAATCCCTTTAAGTTTACAAATATAAATACAATTTTAAATATTCATAATACAAATGACAATAATTTGATATTAGTTAATGATAATAATAATAATACATGGATTTACTCATTATTATAAAATCAATAAATCATGAAGTCAATATTTTTTTAAATCACATTTTATTTTTATAACAACTTTTTTTTATGAAATCTTATCGCGTAACTATTCCTTGTTGATATTCGTTTTTTTCCTCCTCGGTACATTCATAATTGGTGTTGATAATAATGTCATTATTATTGTTTGCAAGGCCGAAAATTCTTACACCGCGCGTGCGTGTACCTGAATTGCCTATACTGGGCGCCGGCTTATAAAACGCGAGAATACGTGAATCGCTAACTACAGAAAGGGCAGATTTTGTTTTCTGAAAAATATTTCATTATACATTTCATCCAGATGACAAGTGCCTTTTCTGCAATTAACGAAATTGTTCATAATTTGTTTTTCGGGTACTTATATGGCAGAACATTAATTGTGCCGTTCGTACAGAATCATATATATATCGATAATACATATTTTTTTGATTATGCAATAAAGTGATTTTTTTGTAAAATATTGGACACGCGCCCTTTCTGTATTTAACGATTCACGTGCTTCGCGAGAGTAATATCTAATAATATGACTAGTTTAGTCTTTATTACCAACTCCCATCGCCAACTGTTACACAAACTATGTCGAACATTCCGCAAAAGTGATTATCACAAAAACTACCGAAAATCAATTAAATTTAAATTGCAATGACAGCAGCCGTCGTCGGGTAGGTTACAGAATGGTAATATCTACCGTAACAATAATATGAGCATCGTCTTCTGGCATCAAATGTTGTGTGGATAATTATATTTTGGCTCACTCCGTATGCGGTTTCTCCCTTGCGACACTACGTCGTTTGTGTGATTAACACACGTATCTCTGAAAACGTTATGTAAACAACGGTAGTTCGTCGTTTGACATTGAAATGACGTATTGTAAGTGTGTTCGCCCAAAAAGTTTATACGAGGAAACGCTTGTATAAGAGTTTGGGAGTGCCGTTGAGAAAATTGTGTGTCATTAACGTGTGCCGGTTTTGCCAGTCTTCGTATACAGTGTTAACACACCGTCAAAAAGAGTAAAACTTTATTACTAAAAAAAAATACAAAAAGAGTTCTTAACTCTTGTTTCCAGTCGCGAAATTATTAATCACGAAATGTGCTAAAAATCGAGTACGACGTTAACCTTTTAGAAATGACCGAAAAAGCGACCCAACCCTTAAAGTAAATTACTTTTTGTCGAATTGCTAGCTCAGAAGGGTTTAAATTGTTGTAAGTGCCCGGACGCTGTTTTTGTTTTAACGATGGTTTAAAAATCTGCTTTGAACGAGAATACAAGCAAAAAGAGTAGGCGGCGGTAATGATTTTATTGCTCAACAAATTTGGATTAGCCGGTCTGAGCGCTTATTTTAGCTTTCTTCAATTAATACATCCTATATGTTGGCTTGGGAAGGTCTGGAATAGGCTAAATATTTATGATTTTCAGGTCGTTGTGTGCAAACTTTAAATACTATTCCCTTATTTTTCAGGGGGAGATTTTTTTTATCTATACACTAATATGTTTTACAGTAATTTTATTACTATAATTAACAGTTTATAAGACATAAGTACACAAACTGTATTCAATGGCTCGTAGTTTCTAAAATAGTAGCTCATTTGGAGATGATGGCCAATTTCAAAGAAAGCTCGAACTCGAGCGTTCGTCAGAAAATTCAAACAAATATTTTGTGTTTACAACACAGTAAACATCATTATTGTTGTTTTCGTTTTTTTGATCAAACAAAGAGCAGGGAAAAAGTCGGATGAAGCACTTTGGTATTAAATTTACAGGGTGATAAATTTAACTTAATACATTTATTTTCTCTTTGACTTATTCTTCTGGCTTTTGTAGACTTATATAAAAACAATAACAAATCTATGGCAGTGTTGAAATTTTCGCGGATTTTATTCAAATTCAATTATTGTGAATTACTGTGAGAGGATTAATCTCCTCAATAAAGAGAGATCCCCGCAGCCCGGTATTGGAATTTATATCAGGTACATTATATTAAATATGATATTAAGACGATGTGTGCTTAGCCATTATATCCACATTGGCGGTAACACGCATATAGTTTATTATTATAATAACCATTGGAGTCGATAATAATATGATTATGTTTTCAGCAGAGTCGCCGCAGCTGTTATAAAATGCCGTTTAATGTGGTATGCGTTTTATTATTAAGCAGATAAACCCTTCTTGCCTCGTGTTAGCTTGCTGTATGTGCGTTTTGCAAAATTAATAAAGACATTTTAGCCGCCTACGCTGATGTTACAGGGTGTCACACAAGTTTTGAAACTACCAAAGTTAAGTTATAGACCCGCGAAACACTATTACTGCTCGGCAGATTTCTTATGTGTCGCTAATGGAACAGGGACACACGGTCTTCATTGTCTTAGGGACGTTGACCGGATAAATGCACCTATAAGAAGAGTAAACGATTGATTTAACGGAGAGTAACGTTTATCAAACTTTCCAACTGTTTACAACTAAATGTTAAATACTATAATTACTATAAATACTATTCGGCTTTAACGTGTACAACGGTATTGGTTCAAAACTTTGGGGACACCCTGTACTTACACTCTGCGAGTCCCTTATGGGACTTTGAGTCGTGGCGGTATTCGGTGTATTATTAATACCTCAATATAGTTTTA